TTTGCTCACATGCTTGTAGTAATGAGCTTCATGCAGAGTCAAAGATTGCCACAGGTGTTTTCTATCTGTGGTCCCTTTGAACACTTGTCAGCTTTTCATTATTTTATAACCAGAGAGCAAAATGAGTTCCCAGCCCAACTGCTTTTGTCTCCATAAGGCACTCACCCAGCATCCTGCTCCAGCCTGAGAAGCCATCGACTAGCCTTCCCAGACTAATATTCTGCAGGAATGAGAATGTGACTGGCTAGGATTCCAGATATGCCTTATTGCCAGAACAACACTTTTCGTATGTATACATAATTATTTCACTCATGACTGAAAAAAATAAAAAGCTAAAAAACCTCCCACAAAAAAATTCTAGTATGCCTACATGTGCACACATACACACGCACCCCCACCATGTATGCTTGACCCTCCCATTCTCTTTACTTGTTTTTTCAGAGTTCATGACTAGGAAAACTATAAAATTTACTTTACAAAAGTTGTATATTTGTCTATGTCCGTATTTATGGGTTGTGGAGGTTGACTTTCTCTCTGTAGTGTATTGTTCCCAAGAGAGCCTGCCCGTTTGCTTGTGTTTTTCTTTCTACCCATTGTTTGCCTTCAGCTTTGCTCTATTTGCCAAGCCCCTGTCCAACTAGTGCTGGTGGGCATGACTTCGGAGTTGTCTCACTGGGATGTGGTTTTGCAGCAACATGGATGGAGCTGGAAGGGATTATGCTCAGTGAAATAAGTCACAAGGAAAAAGAAAAATATTGGATAGTCTCACTTATAGGAAGAATATAGGGGGACCATACAAGGGATCAGGAAAAAAAGACAAAATTAGCAGGCAAACTATAAATCGGAGATATTCAGCAGGGCATGGGAAGGGAGAGGGATCAAAGCAGGAGAGGGAAGAGCACAAGGGACTATGGTGACGGCTCACAGGTGTCTTGGTGGTGGGACACCAATTTCTTCTCTTTCAGAGAAGAAATTAAACTTGTACAAAAAAGAACAACGATGTAAAAATACATATTTTTTTAAAAAAAGTATATAGTACATTAAAACAATGAAAGAGAATACTTTGCTGAAAACAGGAAAAAGTATCTATGCAGGAGAGTCTCCCTTTGCTTGGTTTGTACAGCAATGAACAAAGGATCTACGTACTTTGTTTAGGATAGGAGAGTTTGGTTTTGTTTTAAGATGAATTGGTGGGAATATGAGAAACTTTATGTCTAATAAGGTTGTGTCAAGATTTTAAGACAGACATGAATATTCTAAGAACAAAATTGTCTACCTTGTGTCTACCTGATTCTCACAGAAGGTATGTTAATCCATTCTTATGATGTTTTGTTTTTTTTTTTTAATAGAGGCATGTTTATTTATTTATTTATTTATTTATTTATTTATTTATTATATTTGTTTGTTTTTGTTTATACATGCACTGGGTACAGTCAGAAGCGCGGGAGGGTGAGAGAATTCACCAGAGCCAGAGCGGGGAGCAGAGCAGGCAGAAGTGCTGAAGTACACTGCTGAGGGGAGCAGCGGGTGGCAGGAGAGGTCTCTTATGATGTTTTTAATTTCTCTAAGGTTAGAAGCAAGTTTTACTGGTAATAACTTCCTTTCCTCGTTTACCCTCATGATCAAGTTCCCAGCATCTCTGCTCAATTTTCCCAAGTAGTTCTTTTGTTCATTTAAAGTCTTTACTTCTTTTCCTTGAACCACCAAGTTATCAAAATTCCTCTTATTAGGATGAATTCTACTCAACAATGAAGAGATCTTCCTGTAGCAATGAGTCCTGAGAATCATCATTTTCTTCTACATGTTTCTAATTTACAAAACATAGATATCATCAATTTCTAATGCAGTGGATAGTTAGGCCTAATTATTTTTTACATCATTTCCCACTAATGTGTTTAGGGAAAGTGATTATTGGAGATGTGATTGAAGCACTAGAAATGAAATGCCATTTGGTAGACAGATGGCTCGTCTCAATCCAGAAGTTCCATCCATCACCAGGGAAATGGAGTCACCCCACGTGGGGACAGTGGACATGGGAGACACCATGTCTGTGTGTGTGGGCACATGCTGGCACGAGGTCATAGAGGTTGTTGGTTATGATTTCCTTGTGGACACTGAATCCGTACAAGGAGTCTCAATAATTAAAATAATGAACACTGCAAAGTGACAAGTTCATAGATCTCTGTGTGAAGAATGTTCCTGTTAGCGACTCTCTACATTTCAAGACGTAATGTAATGATCATTCAGAACTCATTATCATCTGAAAGGATGTCGGGAGTTGGTAGACACTTGGCAATTGTCTTTCGCTGACATTAATTCCCGCCATTGGGAGCAGAAGTAGAAGAGTAGAGGAGCAATAAATGCCCAAACTCACTCTCTCTTTCCTTCCCTACAGCATGACAAACACTCTCAAGGATGCTGCCCGCCTCCCCATTGCAGGCCTCTGCTTCCTCCTGTCAAGAGCTCACAGCAGGTTTCACTTCTTACCCACTTGTAATCTTACCCATAACTCCTCTCACTGAGATTCCATCTCTTTTAAGAAACTTATGCTGATCTTGGTCCAAATTCTCAGGTATTTTCTCCCTTCTTTCCAAATAAAAGCATCCAGAAGGAGAAAGGAATGAAAGCAAGCATTAAAAAAAAAAATCTCAAATGTGAATTATAAAATGAGAAGTAATGATAGCTTAGAAACTCCAAACTTTTTTTATAATGGTACATATGGCATGTTGTGGCATGATGGAAACTCTTGGAAAATCTGTCTAGATGATGATGATGATGATGACGACGACGATGATGACGATGTTTATTATGGTTTGATTTCATGCCAGACATAAGCTAGGATCTGGAAATAAGGTGGCGTATGAGACATGCTTCCTTTCCCAAAGGAGCCTTCTGTTCAGAGCACTGTTAGCCCAACAAAACAAAACGCAGCCACATGGTGTTGACCTAAGATCATCCAGCAGCGCATCAACAGAGGACGGGCAATACCTGGAGATCTGGAGAAGCCCTCAGGAAGAAGGGACTGGTGAGTGGGTTTTGAAGAATGAGTAGGAATTCGGTAGGTTAAATGAAAAGGTGAAGAACTTTCCAGGCAGAGGGATTGGTACAAAACTATGGAAATGAGTCAGCGCAAAGACTATTTTACCAAGGCAAGTTCGATGTGGTAGGCGCTCAGTCACAGGAAGGGCACAGGGAGAGCAGCATAAGACAAGGCTGGGAAAGTGGGTAGAGGTTTACTTTTGAAGGTGATGTAAGATTTGCCTTGGCTTTAATCTTACAGATGGAGGGAAAGAAACAGCTATGAGGTTTTAGGAGGGAAGGGATGGGATCCAACTCTTGTGCAAAAATCACTGAGATCACAGTTTAGTGTGTGTGTGTGGAAGAGGGTGAGGGTGGAGATGTGGCCATGGGGGAAGGAGAACCTGTCAGGAAAGTGAGGTCTCAGTACTGGCAAGAAGGGTGCTCAGATCAGCAGGGGAGGGGTGGCTCTTTGTGTCTTCAGACACCACAGTCTGCCTCCAAATAACACAGTCCACTGATGGTGTCTGAGGAACACAATGTGAAAATGCCCAAAGATGGCTTCGAGCAACTGTACTGAACCCCAAAAGGAAACTCGGCATTTGGCTCTATCCCCCCATTTATATTCCATAGTTACCTGCAAGAATGAGAATGATACCAAGAAACACCTGGGATGGTTTCCTCTAAAACTGTTCAATGTCTCATGGCCCCTCTTCCATTCTGAAACAAGGTGGCTGGTTTGTGTGGATAAGTCCTGCTGAATAGAGAACCCCAGAGTCTCACTAGAAAACACTGTCTAGGCCATCTACCAGCTTAGTATTCCTTCAGTGGAAGGTCTCTCTCCTCTCTCTTCCCCTTTCTCCCCAAGAAACCTTCTCAAAATTGTAGCCTCTTCTTAAGAGCTCCCCTGTTTGTTTCTAAAGCAAATTATGAGCTGGCAGTGCCCTCTCCTGGCCTCTTGAGGCTACAGCTTGACATTGCCTTTTCGAAGCACCAAGGATGCTTTTCTAGAAAGAAACCATTATTATGATTAGTTCCCTCTATTTGGAGTTCTAAATTATGAATTATTTAGGACCAAGAGTTGTGGCTAAAATAAGGAGGTGACTATTTTCCCATGTGTGAAGGGGAAAATCAAGTATTAAGCAAAACAAACAAAAACCTACATTCCTTTCAAGAGGCAGCTCCAGCTTGCCCCCACCTATCTCACCTGACCATGCGGCTCTGGACAGGTCACTTTGCCTTACTCACTTCATGGGACCCTTGTAAGCTCTAGAAACATTATGTATCTAGCAGGATGGCACATGGTAAATGTCCAATATATAGCATGGAAAACCCAAAGTTTCCCTAAAGGAGTGTAATTAATACAACTTTTCTGGGAAAAAAGAATCTGCTACAAATACCAAGAACAAAATTTATGGGCCTTTTGAACCCATATATTTTATCCTATGAAAAAAATAATTGAAAAAAATAATAATGTGGAAAAAGTTGACTGTAAAATTATTCATTACAGTGTTTTGAGTAATATAAGTTAAAAAAATCCCATTTGTCCAAAAATCTAAAGAAATAGGTTAATTTGTTGTATCTATACAACATATTTCAGTAGATCTGTCTGTTCTGTCCCCTACCCCCCTCCCCTGACAATACCTCAGTTCTTCCACACACACACACAAAAAAAAAAACATTAAAAAAAGAAGTGGACTCTTTTCAAATCAACCTAGACAGCTGTTTAGATATATGTGTTAAAATAAAGTGTACATATTCTGGATCGCCACAGAGGAAAACATGCAGATGGACACAAGAGATGTATATAAAGATAACTTATCAACACATTTTCTAACAGTAAATAATTGAAACAACTTACCTGTCCATCCACAGGGAGATAACTGAATGAATGATGATGTGCTGTGCAGACAGGTGATGCTGTGGGAGCAAACAATATCTAAACCCTGATAGCTTACAAAAAAGGTTCATTTCTCACTTACTGCGTGTCTCTGGACTCAGCTCCATGTCGTCCTCAAGATGCAGGCAGTACTGCGCTTCCCACGTGGTAGCCAATAGCCTCACATGGCGACGGAGCACTTGAGATCTGCTTGGTGAGAACCTACATGCACTGCAAATGGAAAAAAGCACACTGAATTTCAAAGACTTCTTAAAAATGCAAAACATCTCAATGATTTTTATTTTATTTTTTAAAAAGATTTATTTATTTATTTATATAAGTACTGGGTACAGTCAGAAGCGTGGGAGGGTGAGAGAACTCACCAGAGCCAGAGCAGGGAGCAGAGCAGGCAGAAAGGCCAAAGTACACTGCTGAGGGGAGCAGCGGGCGGCAGGAGAGGTCTGCGTGCCATGTGGGACCCTCCTCCGGTGGCCGGGGAGCAGCCGGGGATTGAACCGGTGCTGCAGAGGCTGCACTCAACCGTTGCGCCACCGGGGAGGCCCCTCAATGATTTTTCATGTTGATTATGTATTGAAATAAGTTTGGCTATATTGGGTAGATAAAATATATTAACAAAATTAATTTGACCTCATTTTAAAAATTTAAACAGGTAGAATTGTGAAATACTTTAAATTTCATAGTGGATGGTATAATATTTTTTAAAGATTTATTTATTTATGCATACAAGAACTGGGGTACAGGCCAGAGGTGCAGGGGTTGAGAGGATTCACCAGACAGAGCAGGGAGCAGAACAGGCAGATCTCCTGAAATACACTGCCAACGGGAGCAGCGGGCAAGACAGGAGAGGTCTGCTGTGTCATGTGGGTTACCTCCCTAGCTGGGGATAGAACTTGTGCTGCAGTATATGCGGACAGCTTCATAGTGCTGCATCTTAACCCCTTGTGACAACAGGGAGACCCCTGTGCAATATTTTTATTGACAGTGCTGGTCTAGGACACTCCTAGTCCCAGTGGCAGGAGAACAGAGAGATAACAGAGCGCTTACTGACTCTTACAGCTTTTGCCTGGAAGTCGCAAATGTGGCATTGGTTTATAAGCCCTCTCCTGAAGAAAATTACACTGGTCTCTTGGATTTAAGAAAGTGGGGGAGAGCCAATCCCACCATGTCCCCAGGTGACAGTGAGATTGGGGACCACAGTAGAATACCTGTGAGGTATTCTATGTGTTAGGCCTCTACAATGCAACATGGAAAAACTACAAGCCATGTTGTGGAGTCGGAAAGCAAGTTGTTTAGCAAAATACACTACATCATACCAGTTACTACACACATACAAGCGGAACGAAATTGAACATTCCTGTTGAGGGCATATACAATACAGGTAACTATCTAGAAATGTGTCTGGAAGGATCTGTACAAACTTGAGCCAAGGTTTACCCCTTAGAGGGCAGGTGAGCTTTATCCACAATGTTTGAATTTGAAGCCACATGGTGTTCCTGCTTGTGTTGGGTGTCTGCTGCTTGCCTCTCCACAGACACCCTGGACCTGTGTTTGGGGAGGCTGACCTCCTCAGGGGGTTGCCTGGCTCACTGGCTTCTGGGCTGATTAGCAGGGAGGGAGGAGAGCAAGGACAGGAACCCATCTCCTCCTCAGAGGCCCGCCTCATGGCTCCCCAGCTGCCCTCTGGCTTGGGTTCCGGTCCTGAATTCCCACCTCCCCTCAGGCTGTGGGCGCCCACCACCCCACCAGAGCTGCGACATCGCTTCCTCACACATGGCCCTGTGAATAGACTTTTCTATAGACTCCCTTCCAGTTACTCCACTGTAAGTGCATCACCTGCTTTTGCTGGGGATGTGAGTCACACAATATGATCTTTACAAAACTTAAAATAAATAAAAATCATAGAAGACAAAATCTTGACAGGAAGATGACAAAAAATGTCACTTTTGCTTGCCGCACCTTCTTTGGCAGTAGGAATATTTGTGAATTATGTTCTGTGCCGTTGCACTGCTACGTCGTTATCAATGTTCTCTACAATAAACAGTATCTTTACAATTCACACAAAAAGCCAAAGTCTGAAATGAGCAAAACCAGTAAACAAAAAAGGTCACTCTCCTATTGCATTTGTTCAGAAATTGCTGACCTTTGCTTTGCAAAACAGTGGCTAACAGAGAATAGGTCCTTTCTTATCTGGCAGAGAACATGCCGCCTCCTTTGTAACATAAGGAAGGAAAATCACGAGGACATTTACTGAATGCTCATGACAGGCCGAGCACTATCTCGTTCCCTGTCACTGCGACCTTCCTGTGACCCAGCACTAACAGCTCCACTATTTGTCTCCCAGGGAGACAGCTTGCTGCCATGTGAACTGACTCGTACACAGCACCCCACAAGCACGGACAGAGCATCCTCAGGCTGGGAGTTCTCACAGTCTACCTCTCAGGGCCCAGGCACCCAGAGGGGCAGGCGGCACCCCACACCCACCATATCGTTTCACTGAGATCAGAACATCACTGGCTGATTTCCCAAGGGCTGGGACTATAAGAACCTCCTTCATTGGACTATTTGGGGCCAGGGCATTCATTCAGTTACGCCTTGCTTCATTTACATCACCAAATGATACACCATAATGTGTCCCAGAGCACAGCCCCTTCCCCACACACTGATGCAAGGGGGTGCGACAGGAAGGGAGAGGAATCGCTCCTTTCTTCAAGTCAATGGGCCCCTTCCTGAGGGTTAGGATCAAACACACGAGGCTGGCAGAGGCCCAAGACAAGGAGGGCTAAGGACGTGAATTAATATCTTCCCTCAAAATGCCTTCCCTTAGGGAAGTGGTTCTTAACCAGTGACAATTTTGTCCCATAGAGGGGCAGATGGCAACATCTGGGAAGCCCTGTTTGGTGCATTAGGAAGAACACAGTTGCCCAAGATCAGACCCCAGGAGGGACAAACAGGCCAACAAAGGTGTCACAGTGAGACACCAGCACACTCTCCTGACCCAGGACTCACAGAGGATGCCTTGGAATTGAGATGAGAGCCATTTCAGTGTTTCATGTCAGTGCCTGCTGCCATGCTGGTAGAGGGACTTTTACCTCATTGACCCTGTATTGGCAGTGGCTTAAAAGAAGAGGAACTTCTGAAATGCTAAAATCAAAAAGAAGAGAAGAAAAAGCCAACTCAGGAGGGAGGGAGGGGTCTGGGCTGGAGGACGCAGAGCGGGGAGATGCGCGGCTCTCTCTGTCGAGCGTCGCCTCCACATGGTTCGCTCTGTGGCTCTCAGTATCTCCACGCCTCAGACGCCTCGGGTGAAAACAGGGACCAAAAATTTCTGCTTCTAGCTTTCTAAATATGTCTCACTCTCATTCCATCAATCTTGAGGCCACCTCAGATTTGGAGGCAGAGAATTCAAAAGTGGTTGACGAAAAATAAAAGGTAAAGGCACATTAATGTGTCTGAGAAGATGTAAAGATCACCCGCGATGTTTCAGGCACACAGAGGCTGCCGAGACACTTTGCTGTCTCGTGGACCTACCTGTTAGCAGTTTTTGTTTTAAAATGAAGGCAAGAATGTGAAGAAATGGGCCTCCCCAGTGGCGCAGCGGTTGAGCGCTGGGTTGCGAAGCTGCCCGCAGCCTCTGCAGCGCCGGTTCGATCCCCGGCTGCTCCCCGGCCACCGGAGGAGGGTCCCACATGGCGCGCAGACCTCTCCTGCCGCCCGCTGCTCCCCTCAGCAGTGTACTTCGGTCCTTCTGCCTGCTCTGCTCCCCGCTCTGCCTCTGGTGAATTCTCTCACCCTCCGGCGCTTCTGACTGTACCCAGTGCTTGTATAATAAATAAATAAATATTTAAAAAAAAAAAAAAAGAATGTGAAGAAAAGGGAACACTCATCCACTGCTGGTGGGAATCTGATTTGGTGAAACCTTCACGGGAAGTGGCATGGAGAGGACTTAAAGCAAAAAAATTAAAAAAAAAAAAAAAAGGAGGGGGGGAAATCCCAACTGCAATTGTTCCAGCAAAACCTCTGCTAGGTATTTACCCAAAGAATATGAAAATAAATCAAAAAGATTATTAAGTGTTCATAGCAGTGCTCTCCACAAAAACCCACTCATGGGACCACCTAAGTGCCCACTGACAGAGGTCTGGATAAAGAAACCGGACTACATACTCAGCGGGCTACTCCTCAGCTATTAAGGAAGATGACACAGTGCCTTTGGGTGCAAAATGGATGGATCTTAGGATGATTACACTGAGTGAAGTAAGTCAGAGAGAGAAAGACAGATACCAGATGGTTTCACTTATCTGTGGAATATAAATAACAAAAAAAAATTGGCAAATCACACAAAAATAATTTTTAGGCTCTGTGAAAAACATACTGGTTACCAGTGGGAATGAGGAGGGGGGAGAGAAAGGGACATTGGCACGTGATGTGAAAACATTTCCCCCCAAGTTCCTCAGACATGAAAATGACAAGCTATTAAAATTAGATACAACAAAGACACAAAGCAGAGGTTTCTGTGTGACTTTACTATACTTCCCACAAACCGCCACAGGAAAGACAACGAAAGCCACTCTGGAGGCTACATGGAAATCTCAGGGAACCAAACCCCTGAATAGCCAGGTATGGGACATGCAGCTGAACTTTCTTTGCCCTTTCACGTAGGGATTTTAATTCCATGGGAAAATTAACGAAGGTATAACGAGTGACAACTAGAGGCATTAAAATCTGCTGCTCGCAGCATAATAGTGCCTTGAAAATATCAGACGTGGGCCTTCCCGGTGGCGCAGCAGTTGAGCGGTTGCGAAGCTGCCCGCAGCCTCTGCAGCGCCGGTTCGATCCCCGGCTGCTCCCCGGCCACCGGAGGAGGGTCCCACATGGCACGCAGACCTCTCCTGCCGCCCGCTGCTCCCCTCAGCAGTGTACCTCGGTCCTTCTACCTGCTCTGCTCCCGGCTCTGGCTCTGGTGAATTCTCTCACCCTCCCGCGCTTCTGACTCTGCCCAGTGCTTGTATAAATAAATTAAAAAAAAAAAGAAAAAAGAAAATATCAGATGTGAGCTTTGTGGAGAGCTTCGGGCAGAAGCAGGGCTGAGGCAGGGCGCCAGGGAGCACTGACAACCAGCAAGGGGCCTATCGGGCTGGGAAAGTCAAGTCCATTCTCTCCATCTATGAAACCTCTCACTTCCTTCAGTCCTACAGTCAGATTTCTAGGGTTTG